CTGTAGGAACCCCAGGCGGTCTGTCTGGAAAGCCTATAATAGCTCTATAGGGACCCTATTCCACCCGCCGTAGAAATCTCATACCGGCTGCACAGAGATCTCATTATAGCTCTGTAGGAACCCCAGGCGGTCTGTCTGGAAAGCCTATAATAGCTCTGTAGGGGCCCTATGCCCCCTGTGCTGATATTTCATGGTAGCTGCGCTGGGATTCATGCCAGGTCTGTAGGAACACCATGCCACCCGTTCCGAGGCTTGGTTCTAGGTCTGCCGGGATTTCCTGGGAGCTGTGATCATATATCATGCCAAATGTGCTGAAATTTCATGATAGCTCTGTAGGGGCTCGATTCCAGTGTGAACAGGTTATCTGGTTATTAATTCTGGTTGTGGTACTCACCATGTTTCAAAAAAGCTGATAAAGGGGGGGAAATATTATTGAAATGTGATAATTTCACAAACAAAACAAAAGCCTCTTATATCTTTGAACTTTGTCACATCTGAATTTAAAATAAAATTTATATTTCCTGTTGTTATGTCCTTTTTCCACGAAAAAAAAAAACAATGCGTTGTCGTTTATCTAAACTCATTTCGATTTCACTTCATCACATGAATGCACACATGTTACAGCATCAACACAGCGTGTAAATACTCACGTGGAAAGCGCTGAAAAAATTAAAAAAAAAAATTTGTAAAATCAACCTGCAAAAAATTCATTTCTGTACTTAGGCGCATATATTTTCCATTAGTGGCTCTCGCAGACGTTGCGTTTACGCTTAGAAATATTTTATTTTCATTCTCGGTGCAGCTAATGCACTACCAATTTGATTAGGCGTGCAACAGACATCTTCAATTCATTCCGCACATTGCTTTGTTCGTTGATTGCTTCCTTCTTCGATTGTGCAATAACGAGTGCAAGGCATTGAGCAAGGCTCTACGTACGTAAAAAAAAAAAAAGGGCCTCTAAAATGAGTAATTCGCCATTGTCTATAGCGCCAAACCACTCGGAGTTGGGCCCCACGCCTTGTCGTACTACTGAACACGCTGAAAACAACCCATGGGAAAAAGAAAAGCAACAAAATGAAAGTTATGTAGACATAAATAATGAAAAAAAAATAGCACTTGTCGGAGATGAAAGCTGTAAACCCCTCTGGAGTTGCGATAACACAAACAAACTGATTTGTAATGATGTGAAATTCAACTACTCGCCTAGCGCAAATAGAGACACCATTGGAAATATGAAATCTGACGTTCCATTTGACATGAACGTGGGTGCTGCGACTGGACAAAGTACTGAGAACGAGCATACCCATGTAGGGACATATGTAGAGAATACGCTTCAGTCAATGGCGGTGAATTACATGAATACTAATGACGACACAAATGAAGACACAAATTTCGGCACAAATGACGACACGGACATGAACACTAATGCCGATGATACTGTGCGGAGTAGCCTTGAATTACACGAACAAGCATTCTCTGGGAAAACGCCTAACCTACGCGTTGGTTCGCACAATTCAAAAGCTTTCTCAACACTCGGCAAGACATTCGAGGAGGACGCGGAAAACGGAATTTTTTCCCCCATTGGAGCTTTCGACACCGACCACTGCGAAGACTATGGGGTGACCTACGGCACTAATTACACCATGAACTGTAGATCAAACTACGGAACGAGCTGCGGGACCAACTACGCTACAAACTATGCAAATAATTATGGAACAAGCCTCGGGACGAACTACACCTCAAACTACACCACAAACTACAGCACGAACTACGGAATGAACTATGGAGCAAACTGCAACGCAAACTATGGCAGGCGCTTCCTCCCGAATCCTGCCCATAGGGTCAGCCCCAGCGCAAAAAATTTGCCATTTCATGAAAGGGGATTGCTGAAGACCCCTCCAGCTGGCATGTACACATGTTTTCGCACCAACAAAGAATACGAACTCTTGAAGTATAACAATCAAATAAAAAAAGGAGTGAAAAAAAATTGTGCAATAAATGAAAAATATCATAAAGCAAAAAATGACTACACAGCAAAAGCAGGAGATGTTGTGCCTTTTAAAAGCACAAATAAGTATGCTGCATGCAATTGTGCTATGGTGCATAAAAATATGTACCTAGGCAAAAACGAAAATGAATGCACCGATATAAAACAAATACACAGCGATTTTATTTTTTTAATTATAAAATATCTATACTATGAAAGAATTCTACCGGAAGCAAATGAAGTAAAAAGGAAAATAAGTAAGTACTTCCCAGAGTGTCCGGTGCTCAACACAAATTTTGTAAACATATGTAGAGAGGATATCAACCAGAGATTTTTAATATGCAAGATAAATGCACACGAAGAAGAACAACAAGAAGAAGAAGAGGAAAAAGAAAAAATAGAAAAAGCATATTTTAGAAAAACATTTAATAACGAAAATATCTGCATATACCTTAGAGATATATCCAAAGATTTCTTTATAAATCCCAATGACGATACTGAAAGCGTTCTGCAGTACATACCTCTCCTGTTCATGCATATTATTGACAGGTTCCGATTACAGTCCAGTAAGTGCAATAAAAAAAAAAAAAAAAAAAAAAAAATGATGTATTTTCATTTCTATTCTGTGTCCTTCATTCTGTTATATGTGTGCAACTCGGTCTTTCAGACAAGCCAGAGTGTAACCCGTAATGACATCATGTCCCGTTTTCATTTTCTGTGCGTTTTAACTCGGAAGCAGTCCTCTCGTATGTGCTGAGATAAAATTCCCAAGCACATGTATAACTCTGTCGTTACTTACATTTATTATTTCAAAGCATAATATATCTACATTTATATGTGCATATATTTTATTGTTGGGTGCACATGCCCATTTAATGTTTTTAGCACGTCTTCTTTATTGCACCTCATTACAATGTTGAAATAGCTGTTATTTATTTATTAATTTTGTTTTTTTTCTTATTGTGTGACGTGCTAGCTATTGAGCACACGTGCACATCTAAACTATGTACATGTCTGCACACACGCAATGTGAGTAACGAAACAATGACGCCTTCACGCTCTGATTATTTCTTTCTCGTGTTCTATGGGGATGCTGTACGTTACTCTGTGTATATTTCATCGTGCCACTGCTTCGTACATGATTCTGCGCGCCTGTGCTTACCTGCATTTTGCATAGGGCACATTAGTCTAATCGTGTGTGCCTACACAGTGGCACACGTCCAGTTTTGACATATTTTCACATCGCTGGCCCTAAACCTTTGCACACTTCCTTCTACTTCCCACATTAACACTTTCCTTACAACATCTCTCCCCGCAGGTGACAATAATCACAAGGGAGGCAGATACATCTTGGCCGAAACGCTAAAACACACGGGCCCATATATATTCAGGACGATGAAGTTAGGAAGAATCATACACATACTCCAAAAATGCATCGACTTGAATATTCTCTCCTATTACAACAATAATATTATTCCCATATTTACCTCTATGGCTATTTCAAAAACGTATGTTTCGAAAATGCTGGTTAATGAAACACCAGACTCAAAGAATCACAAGGTAAACTCCATAACTATTATAAAGGATAGGATATATCGCCTTCTACATAGCTACTCAGAGGACAAAACAAAGGGAAAAGGTAATGCACCCATAAGAATAGAAACAAAAGCGCAAATGAATGTCTGAAATGAACAGAAGTGATTCGTCCGTATAAGCGTGTCATCGTAAAAATGTGCATGCATTCATGTGAGTTATACCTACGAGTGCGCGGCCTCCTCGTATTTCGTCTCCTTACACGTAGAGTCCGTAAGGCTGCCAAAACGACATGTTATCATGAGCAAGTTCATCAATAGTAATAGTTGTACTAGTTGTAGGAGTAGTTGTAGGAATAGTTGTAGGAATAGTTGTAGGAGTAGTTGTAGCAGTAGTTGTAGGAGTAGTTGTAGGAGTAGTTGTAGGAGTAGTTGTAGGAGTAGTTGTA